TGTGGGACGCTTTGTCTTTCCTTTTAGGACCGAAGAACCAGGTCCATATATTTTTTTGGCAATGATTGCATCTTCTTCATTCACGTTGCAGTTCTTGAACAGACCAGATCTTACTGCAATACGAAACACTTGAACTCCTGGTGCACCAGCCATATGATACACTGATCATGCGCGATTAGCCCGCTCAACTTGTTTATCAGTGAACCCTTCAATATTCTCCCGTACCGTCTGTATGCCACAATAATCGGAATCTGAATAGCTAATTTTTAAAATTCTACCACAGAAAATAACACCATATTTATGGCATTCAGTGTGTGCGACACCAATCGCGTCACAGTCACCATTTCCGCATTCTCTGTATTCACATTCAGAGTATTCGGACCCTTCATCACTCTCTGCCCTACCATCGGGCACCGAAAGTATACAATCCGTTTTGATGCACATACCTCATTCTCTGTTCCCCCTTCGTAACGATGAAGGAGTTTTCAATATCAGTGTCCATAACAACATGGAATCCAAGCTTCACAAGCTCGGATAAACTATCGAGGTTACATTGCGCTTCAGTATCTAGCAAGCAAGTGTGTCCTTTGATAATACTTGATTCGACCTTTTGATGCAGGTCACGTTGGCCAGTGTTCGTACCGTAGTTGAACATGCTGTAATCCAGGTCAGACGACACAGTGCCCGGTTTGGCGTAATCTTCGTTCATTCGTAGGCTGAACGTAGATCCAGAATCAAGATGTACACCCTTTGGAAGCGAGACCTATCGCAGTTGTAGAAAAATGCACTTGCTTTGAATGTGCCCAGAACTTCTTTCTTGAACTTGGCTTGGAGCGCCTTGATATCGTCCGGATTGGCCTCCGGATCGTCCAGATCCATGACAGAATTCTACCAGGAACGGGATTTGTGACCCAGACCATGATTATTCACGGTTGAAGTGAAGTCTGTGCTTTGTACGTATTGTACGTGCGCAGACCGTTCACAGCCAGTGATATTATCGTAGAAAGAACCGACGTGGCAGGTTCCGCAATCGTGCGTAAT